ACTTAGAGTTCAGAAGCTTATTCCATGGTTTATTGTATCAACAACTAGGACATGATCATGCGTGCTGTTTCGCCGACCGATTTTAGTAATTGCGTAAAATCAACAAAGATCGAATGCCTATGAATAAATATAAGAACGATTAACTATATCGATATAATATGATTAATAATAAGTAAATTAAGATTTTTGGTGTTCAGTTAACATTACCTAATTATGATGTGATTTTTATAATAATTGCTTAAGTAATAAACAATTTCGGTTTTTGATTTTCTTGATTGCGACTTTTTTTTATAGAAATATCTAAATTTCACACTAAATTTCTTTTGTTTCCAAAATTCATAAATTTTGATAAACAATATTATTTTAAAACTTTACATTTTATGCTTTACACTTTTATATTATTTAGTTCTGTAGTTATCATAAACGATTTCGAATTATCATAAATTTATTATCAATAATATCATGGAGTAAATGGGGAATTCAATAGAAATGGACAAATTTTTTCTAAGTAAAAGTCTTTTCTAATTTAAGCTAACATATCTCAACAACCTAAACCAAATTTAATAAAAACCTTTTTATTTTAATTCTACATAATCATAGAATTAAAATGAAAAAATTTATTAAATTTGATCTGATAATTGTTGTCATATTTTGATTTAAAATTTAAAAAAATGTCAAAATGATTTTTCTATTGACTTTCTCAAATCAGAAATCGTTTAAAATTACTGATTTCTAAGATGACTAAAACTTTACTATTAATCCTAGTAATCGGTAATCGGAAATGATTTCTAATTTACGCCATACTGTAAGGGCTTTTATCCGTAACTTCTTTATGAGTTTCTTATTTGCCTACTTCTTCAGAGTTTCAACTTAACCTTTAGAGGATTCTGGCTTTCATGCTACCGTTCTGCTATCTGAGGTGAATTTCATTCTGCATTGCTAGTTCTGTTTACCAAAAATGGCTCACTAGAAAATCTCATTTGATTGTCCAGGTTTACTTAAAGTAACCTCTTAATTGATTCTTCCTATCCTAAGAGAAATTTCAGTAGAAACCAGCTAGATAACTCAATTAGTATATACCCACATTTAACGATCGGTCTGCACATCCTAGCCGCTATGAACATCCACCAAAGTGTCTCTATTCAAGCATAATTCGCATCTACATATTAATAGTAGATTGTCAACTTTCACCTACATATTTAAGGATGTACTAAAGCCAGCCTAATATTACAAGGTGGTAACTAAGATAAATCTCCTTAACGTTTGCTTTCATATGATTTAGCATGAACATCATATTACACTTAAACATCCATGTACTTCCGATCTCGCAATGCCAATCACATCAGAAATCACAAAATTTTGTAAAACAATGATAAAATTAAAAGTTGTGATAAGTTTTGAGCTATAAAGTTATTTCAGAAATAAATATTTTATTTAAAATGTATATTCAAATATGGTTAATGATAAATTGAGATATATTATATTTTAAAAACTAAATTATCAAATTTTGTTTGTTATGGATCATCTGTTGACGCTTTTACTTTTTATAAGCTTATAAAGCTGATTACTACAAAGATCCAAGTTAATGAGTTCAATTATACTTGCTCTTCTGTAAGATCTATAGTAATTAAAGTAACATTTTTAAAGAGATCTCAAATTAATACTTTTAGAACCTAAATAAGTTAAAGTAACGTTTGTACGAAGGGCTTCTTTTAACGCCTTTGCTCCTTCATAATCAAGTTGTTCGTCGTAAAAGAACAAGGTGGTCAAAGTAGTATTTTTATAAAGAGCTTCTGCTAATACCTTGCATTCTTCATTACTAAGAAGAGTTCCATAAAGACTTAAAGAATTTAATGCGATATTTTTACTAAGAGCTTCAGCTATTATTTTTACTCCCTCAAAGCCAAATTTATTGCATCCAACATTCAAGGAAGTTAAAGTAGTGTTCTTATAAAGAGCCTCTACTATAACTTTTATTCCTTCAAAATCAATATTGCAATTATAAAGATCTAAGGAGGTCAGTGTTGTGTTTTTACAAAGAGTTTCTGCTACCGCTTTGCATTCATCGGTACCAAGTTTACTACCAATAAGGCTTAAAGAAATTATAGAGGTATTTTCATAAAGAGCCTCCATAAGTGCCTTTACACCCATAAATCCCAATTGACTATGATTAAGATTTAAAGAGTTCAAAGTGGTATTTTTGTAAAGAATGTCTATAATAAATGCTTTTATTCCTTCATCGCCAAATTTATTATTATTAAGAGATAATGATAATAATGTTGTGTTCTTACAAAGAGCCTCTGATAACATATTTATTTCTTCAGCATTGAATTTACAATTAAAAAGTCTTAATGAGGTTAAGCAGGTATTATTGCAAAGAACATTTGCTAATATTCCTAAGAATTGTTTATAATAACTGTAAGAAATATCGCTTAATTTTTCATTGATTGTATCTATTTGCAAATCTTTAATTTTGTCACTTGTTCGAAACACCATTGTAATTAACGAATACATAGTTATTAAAACTACATCTTCAAATTTCTTTTTGTTATGATGTTTATGTGCATAAATATTATTGAATCCATGTTCCGAACGACAAATCCAGTTTTCAATGGCTTTTTTTAAATTGTAGCACTTGATCGATTTAGTATAAGATGTGTATTCAAATAATGGTTTTGTTTCATTCGAAGGTAATATATTAAATTGAACTAATGGCGCCTTTTCTTCTTCATTCATTAGTAAAAAGCATGTTCTTATAATTCTTTTATCTGTATAATGCGATAACGGATCGTCCCATAATATTGGAATAATATTTCTACACCATTGACGATTTACGAGAAGACATGAAAATAAATATCCATAGCAGCTTTTAAAGTTTTTAAATATTTCAAGAAAACATTCATTTGGCAATTCTTTCATTTTTTAAATTTAAAAAGATTTTTTTTTAAAAAAACAAAGCTACAGTAATTAATTTATAAAATGATCGCATTTTATTTTCGGAGTTAGCGGACACTACATAAATGTCTTACATTTGTGTTACATACTGTACATATTATGAAAGTCATGCGTCACGTGACTTGCGGCGCAGACCGGCGTTAACACTACGTATTAAGATATTGTTTGTTTGGTGTTCGTTTGGTGTTTGTTTGATGTTTGTTTGTGTTTGTTTGGTATTTGTTTTCTGGATAATTTCCAATCTATTTAACCCGCTATATTTTGATTTGTTATGGGCCACTGCGCAGGCTGTGCAGAACTTTTGAGACTGCGCCCACTCAAACAATTTTGTTTTATGGTATTGTACGTGCGTGTGTGACCACCAATCAAATGCGCAATAACATAATCTTCGACCTCCTGATCTTAATTATTTTACGCTGATGCTACTTATGAAATATAAATCGAACAATTTTTCTTCTTTCCATTTGCATATATTTGCGATTATTGTCATAAATAAAAAAGTGGGTTATAAATAACAGATTAATAAGCCTGTATATCTAATTTTATATCATTAAACACATATCGATATTAATTTATCGTATAATCTATTATATGATCACTGACCATTTGAATCGCTAAATTTGTGTATTAGTAATAGCTGAGATTTGTGTACCATTAAAAAATCCGCACTTAACGTATTTGAGAATTTGTAAACATAGTTTTGATTAATTATAATGTTTGACACTCTAACATCATGTCCTCATGTTTTTGTGAGATAGTTGGTAATTCTTTGATTGATTTATCAGCTTTTAAAAATTTCTGTTTGATCTCTTCATCAGAATCATCTAAATCAACACATCGTTTGTCTAATTTAATATTACTATTATTGCCGGCTATAGATTTTTTCCATTTATAAAGTTTATTAAAAAATTCCAGCAGCATTAGATATTTTTTCTTATCAGATTTAATATTACTATCGTTGGCGACTATAATGTTTTCTTTTTTCACGTTTATCAATAATCTCAACAGCCGTAGGTCTGTTTTTCATATCTGAACTAGATCAAGTTCAGCAGATTGCAAATACAATTCAAAAGCATTTTTTAAAACTTTTTTAACTCCGATTCCATTCTGATAACATTCTCAAAAGTTATGAATCGAAGCAATATTTCCCTTTGCAGCAGCTTTTTTGATAATGAAAAAATGCCATTTTTATATCTTTTTTAACTCCCTCTCATAATTGATAACGATTTGCAATGCTATTTATTCCAGTAACATGTCTCATCTCTGGTGATTTTTGAAAATAAATAAATGCCTTATGTTCGTCTTTTTTAACTCCTGATCTTCTATAATTCTGATTTTTGATAATAGATGAATGCCTTATTTTCATCCTTTTCAACTCCAATTTCATTTCAGTAACAATATCTGACATCATTTATTGCAACTGCATATCCCATGTCTGCAGATTTTTTATAGTATTCAAAAGCCTTACGTTCGTCTTTCTCAACATCGATGCCATTATGGTATTTCAATTCGAGCTCGCGAAGTTCTGCACCCGTTGAGCTCATAGTTAAAACACAAAATAAAAATTTATATTTTGCTTAACGCCATGGTGTCTATAGTTGCCGTCCAAATAGTTATTACTATTGGCCCAAATTAAAATTAATTTAACCTAAATTATAACCCAAATCCCACTTTTTGTCCCAAACTTATTTTAAATTCCAAACTTGCTCCAAATCCCAGACTCATCCCAAATTTCAATCTTGTTCCAAATTCTAAATTTGTTCCAATTCCAAATTTGGTTCAAATCTCAAATTCATTTTAAAACCCAAATTTGGTTCAAATCTCAAATTCGGTTTAAACCCAAATTCATTTCAAATTTTAAACTAGTTTCTAATTTCGAATTTATATTATAAATTTTTACAATTTATTTTAAGCATTTTAGCATTATATTTATTATAGCATTATCTAGCAATAGTAGTTTTACATTACAATTCTAATCTAGATTAGTATTATCTAATATTAAATCGATAATAAAATTTGTTCTAAATTTATAATACATTATAATTTCATTCTAGATTAGCATTATCTAACATTGCATCAATATCAAAATTTGTTGTTCCATGATCAACTTCTTCTTCAAATTCATGACCTAATTCTAAGTTATCTATGATTGAAGTAATATCGATAATATTTTCAAGCATTATATCTGTATTACTAAATGAATTATCTATATTATTATTAGATAATAAATTTTCTAATTCTTGTTCATTCTCTTCATTATTAAACAATTCTGTTTCAGTAAACATCACATAAATGATATCTGCTATTGTGTTTTCTAAGTCTTCATCCGAAATTTCTTGATTAATATAATTAAGCTCACTTGCATTAGTAATATAGTATGAATGTATTTGTGCCATAGCATTTAATCGATTTATATCCAATTTATAAAAATTATTATATATATTAGAAAATAATATTAAATAAATTTAATATAAAAATTAATTACCTATTTCAATGTTGTTCTGTCATCCAATTAAGAACTGAAAAAACACGTTCGCAAGCTGCTTGATGAGGCATTATTGCCAATATTTTAAGTGCTAATTTTTGAATATGATTATTTCTTTGATCAATAGTCATCCACCAATTTTGTACAGATGAACTATATAGATCGAATGAAATATCATAAGGATCTTCATATTGTTTATATGAAGTCATTTGCGATAAAAGTTGTGTACTACTATATTTTCCACCATCTATTTTTAACCAAATTGATAATGCTGTATGTGTAAGGGAACGTCGCACAATGCACGTGTTGTGTAACGAACATGTTGGAAATTCACAGAACGATCGTATATCACGTGAAACATGATGTAAGGCCGGAATCACGTTAGCATGATCGAATATTGAGTAATTAGGAATCGTAATAGCTATACGTTCGATTCGAAGTCATAATTAAGTAAATGTATTGAGTCATAATTA